TTTTTTTTTTTTTTTTTGGGTTGTAAATACATTATAGTTTTGAAAATGTGAGGTGTTTGTAAAATTTTAAATTTAAGTAACATTTAATGGTTGTAATTTAAGTTTTAATCTATTTTCGTCTACGTATTTGAATGCGATCGATCGTTTATTAATTTTTGATATCGAGCATTCCAAAGCCATTGAATCAAAATAACACTATTTGGTTGTATGGTGTAATCAGTATGTTGTTTTAATAGCCAACGCAACAAGAAAATCTCTATAATCTTCACAAAAAATACTCTCACATATTGCTCCTCTTAAATGAATCCCATATTTCCCTTTAAAAGCCCTTTGAATTTCATCCAAATCAACCTCAGCTCTGCTCATCAATACTCTTCTCAATGCTCCATTATCATTTTCTTCACCCTTTATGCTTTTGTAAACCACCTGATTCATTCAACCATATTCAAATGCAAATCTTTTCAAAATAAAATGATTATTGTGTGTATACCTTGGCGTAATACTTTGGAGGATTAGATATACACTTGATGACTGTACGTAGGACGTTCTCGAATTCTCCGCAATTTCGTAACTTAAGAGCCTGTAAGAGTATAGCTCAGATGATATGATATGTGAAAATAGTTGAGATGTAAAATTTTTTAATACCTTGGTGAAGTTATGTCCAAATATGTGTTGGTAGCATGAAAAAGTAAGCTTTAGCTGTGGAATGCTTCTTTTAGTGAGCATTTCAAGAACAGCTTCTTCTATGGCTACTAAATTGTCCTTTACTGTTTCATACAGCCTTCTAGCATCACACTTTGCTATATGTTGGCTAACATCTGCATTATGGGCTTTGTGTGAGGCAGCCAATGCTACAAGAATCTGTTGCAAATTTATGTCAATTTTGTATACATCCAGAAAAAAAAGTTTAAACTTGTAATAGCTCAGGCACACTGCTAATAGATATTGTCCTCTTTGAGCTTCCCAACCAAAGAGAGAACGAAAGGGAAAGCCCAAATAGGACAATATCTACTAGCGGTGGGCCTGAGCTTGCTTTACCTTTTGATATGAGTGAGGAGGGTCTATATTGATGATATCTTGTTCCAATTTGGTTTGATATCTTGCTCGATAAGATTGTTTAATGAGAAAGATTTGGCTTGATTTTCTCCCCACAAATATTTCAATAAGAGCCTTGTAATTAGTGTCTCCTTGTTCGAGCGCTTCCCGGGCGAAAACCGCGTCGCGTTCATGAGGATCAAGCATCCACAACGACAAAGCTTGAGCTACTAACTCTTTCCTCTCCTTTTGAACATTGGTTGTCCCTAGTCTTTCCACCAACTCTTCACCATAGATTGCCTTGTAAATCTTCCTCATTTGTTGTCTTTCCATCAGGTTTCGAGTGGCGAGAACTCGAACGAGGCTATTGCTTCTTCGATCCCAGGAATCGTGAATCTCAATACAATCTTTTTCAAGATCGGTGTTGATGGACATATTTGGCAGTTGGGTAGGGAAAGAGAGGCATTGAGTGGCATATATAGGGAAGAGAAGGAAAGGGAAAGTGAGTTGGTTTCTTATGTGTACCATTGGATTATGAGTGTGTTTGAAAGAAGAAAAGAAGGAAGTTTCTGCGCCTTTTCATATGTCTTTTGAAGAAAGCATTGATGTTAAAAGTTTGTGGCATGTGAGTGAGAGAGCTTTGTTTTGTAGCTAATGGTTGTTGGGTTTCCTAGTAGATACTCAGTATTCAACCCTTTTCTTCACATCTTTTCTCCAACTCTCTCATACTTTTTCCACCTTTTTTCCCCTTTCTTCTCATTTTACCTACAAACTCTTTCTTTTCCATATAAAAAAGTTGCATACACAAATTTGTAGTTTCATGGATTTTTGAACAAAATTTGTGTCTCTCCGTTTTAGGTCTCTATCATATTTAAATTTATGTCTAATAAAACTCTAAACTTTCAATTGATAGCTAATAATATTAGATAATATTTGGACATATAGTGTTATAAAGTTTTAGATTGATGGATTAAGACTTAGCCGTGGTCGACAAGTCTCTTGGACGTGTTCAACGACATAAAACTTCCTCAACAAGATTTGATACTTCTTCCTAGCAATCAAATTTTTTTTGTACTGTAGCTGGAACATAGGACGAAGACAGATCTCTTACACAAGGATAAGTCTAGAGAATTCTCAATTCTTCCTAGAGAAGAAAGTATTATTTTTTAGAGTTGTTTGTAAAGAATTTGGATGATTTTTTTTTTTGTCAAATCTAGAATAATATATTTAAATATGTAATAAATTCAGTATCTTATTTAAATTATTTTTAAATATAATAAAATATCTCAATATATTGTAACTATCACATTTTTGAATCACAAACTAACGTGGAGGTAAAAAAAGGGATAAAATTTTTCAATTTCGTAAATACAAAGAGTTAATTTTGAATATAAATAATAAAAACTTACAATAAAAGAGATAAACAATACAAGTTTGCTAGTTATTATAAAAAACAGTTAACAAAATGATACAAGTTTCAAGCAAGCGATATTAAAATAAAATTTAAAAGTACCATTCGATCTAGAGGTCTCCCTACCTACAACTGTATGGCTCTATACTCTCCCGTTAATAAATACCTATTATCGATCGGTAAAATAAAAAAGAGTAGGAATGAGTACAAAAATATTCCATAAGTAGCTTACTTATAAGTACTCATTTAATTTCTTTTCAGTGTTTCTTAAGGTATATGTTCATGTAGTGAGTTAAATTAATTCCATGACTTGAGTTCTTTCTAGCCTTATGAGGCTCTCTAAGCAAATATACCATACTTTTTCCTATTCCAAAAAGGTAAGTCACCCATCGAGATTTATTCGGGTTTTCTAGGTGTACCTAGCCGCCTAATTCCTACTCTCCATGGTCCATATTGCCATCATACTTCCCCCACATAAGTTGAAATGTCCTCTTTGTCTCGAGCTAGAGAGAGCCTAACATGTATAGTGGAGTCGCTACTTGTTACAAGTAACCTCTAAGTCGTCCTCTATAACTCCATACATGTATACTACTAAGTGCTAGCTAGAAGTTCCATTGGTTTCTAACAAGCTCCTCATTTTCATGTTATTCTAGGCTCTTAGATGGTGCAAGATAGACTCTCCACTAAACCAACCAGAGCTCCCTTAGTAGTAGTACCCTCTAATGTACCACCTGCCCTAAGTGGGTGGCGTCATATTCCTATATGCTAAGCAGATTCTCACCAGTGATGCGAGTTTACGGTTAGGGGTTGCAACCTAGCTATCCCGACATAGTACTAGAGAGCAAGGTGCAACATCTTCTTAGCAATAGGCCGATGAATTTAGCATGATGCAATCTCCTACGGTTCACTTCAATACCGAAGTAGTACATGAGTAACCCGAGATCAGCCATCTCAAATTCTTTCATCATTTGTTGCTTGAACTCTTTAATGCCTTCCACACTTATACTAATGATGATCATGTCATCAATGTACACGCCAACTATAAGTGTTTTTAGCTCCATTGTTTCCTGTATACATTGCTTGTTCTTGCAAGCACTTCATGAAACTTAAACTCTTTAATAACTTGTACACTTTGGGCAATGTACACATCTTCTTGGAAGTCACCAATTGGGGATGATGATTTGACGTCCAAGTGATGGACCTCCCACTCGTGTTGAGTTGTGAGGGCGATAATCAACCATACATTATCGAGTCTAGCAAAAGGTGAAAAGAACTCCTTATTGCTGCACATATCCCTTTGCCATGAGTGTTGTTTTGTGTTTGATGACATTTTTATCACTATTCTTCTTCAACTCAAACACCCACTTCAAACTGTTGGGCTTGTGTCTGAGCGGTAAGTCAATGAGTGGCCACTTCTTGTTCTTTTTAATGGCTTTAAGCTCCTTTTGCATGGCCTCCTACCACATCGTTTCAATAGCTACCTCACGATAGGTTGTCAACTCCTCGATCGTGAACAACACTAACTTATGGAGATCTAATTCTTCTTCATGTGTATCTATGTAAATTTAAGAGGCAAAACAAAAATTCTTTGGTTCACCATGTATTGTGGATCCTCCTATGCTCTCACTTGAAGAATAAATTAACTAACTTCTTCCATCATTTGACCAAGACTCATAATATCATTTGACGAACGTTGATAATATTAAGTAACTCCACTTCTATCGCACTAGTGAGCTTGCTTTTTTTTTAACAACGTGCCCAAGCTTATCTCCTTACTTTTTGTTCTAGCTCACATTAATGCGTCAAACAACTTCCGTTAAGGCCCACATTTTGACTAGCGTGTTAGAGTTCATTCACCCACAACTATGTTATTGATGTGTAGTATTGCTTCCTCAACACGCCTTAGGCTTCTTCCTCATTTTTCTTAGCTACCTCGTAACAAATACCTTACACACAACTTTCTTCATGCGCTAAGTGTCACGGTCATGCTCGTCCAGGGCGTATTGCCCATGGCCGCATGCCCATGACAAGCCAAACCCTTGTCATGTCTTTTCATTCTAGTGTTTTTCCTTTTGTAATTCTAGGGCGTATGACGCCTCAAAAATATCATGTCTAGGTCTGCCAGACATAAAATGGCTCAGAATGAACACTATAGAGGGATATGACTAGTTGTCAACTTCTCCCTACCCAAGGTTATATATGCTAAGCCGTTGTTATCTTTCTCTTGCTTGTTTATATAACGTCTCTTTCCAAAATCTCTCTTTCTAAAATCTCTCTCTCTCCTCGTTTTCTAAAACCTTCTTTTAAAACTGAGGCTAGAGGCTCGATCATACGTCGCTTGGCCGTAGGCGACGCAAGAACAAATTGGCTTAAGCTCACTTGTCGTTGGAAAGTGAGTGCCGCTCAATCGCTAGTCCGTTGCCTTCGAAAGCGCGATTGTGTCAAGTGGTATCAGAGCTTTGTTAGCTCCGTAACATCGTACAGACCGAAATCATGTCGACGACAAAGTCGACACCCAAAGCACAAGCCGACCGGCTTACAATGATAGAGGAGGAAATGCTGTTCCTCAAAGAAGTCCCTGACACCCTCCGCTTCCTGAAAGCACGGGTGACCGAATTGAGTGAGAAAGTCGAAGAAATCGACGCCATGGGCAACCGCCTGGATGGGTTGCCAATCGCAGAACTGATGTTTCGAGTGACCTCGCTCGAAGAAAGAGTTACTCCTACGAGCAGCCCAAAACCATCTGGTAGTCTGGATAGCTCTGTCGCGCACATAGAGGGACGTGGCGAAGAGTTCAACGTACTACAAAATACAATGATGAGTTTGTTCAATAGATTAGCTGATGAATTCAGAACAACAATCGACGACCTCCAAGAAAGAATGGCCGCCATGAGCACTCGAATTGAAGTGACCATGAAACCCGTGGAGGGCGTCACGGCTGGGCAAACTAATGCAGGATCCAACAAACTAAGGTTCCCAGACCCTAGAGCCTTCAAAGGGAATCGGGACGCCAAAGAGTTGGAAAACTTCATCTTTGATGTCGAACAGTACTTCAAAGCCACAACGGCTTGTATCAACGACAAGAAGGTGACTGTAGCCGCGATGTATCTCATAGACAACGCCAAACTGTGGTGGCGTACGAAGGTGCAAGATATCGAGGATGGATTATGCACCATCGACTCATGGGAGGACCTGAAGAGAGAGTTGAGGGAACAATTCCTCCCCGAAAACGTAGGACATATAGCAATGGAGAAAATAGTAGCCCTGAAACATACTGGAAACATACGGGACTATGTCAGACAGTTCTCAACCCTGATGCTAGATATCAGGGGCACAGCAGAGAAGGACAATGTGTTCTTCTTTATAAATGGGCTACAGCCATGGGCCAAAACAAAGATACATGAGAACAGGCTCCAAACCCTAGCTGCCGCAATGGCCTGCGCCGAGAGACTCGTAGACTGTGGGAACGAAGCAGGATCCCAAAGAAGAACGACACCGGCCCCAAACACTGGGGGCAAAACATACAAGCCACCAGGTCATCGAAATGGAAGCCCCAACAGACCGAGCGGATGGACGGATAGACCTCCTCAGAACAATCAAGCGGGGACATCTCGAGGGCCTTACCATCAAAGGAACCACCCGACGATGCCTTTACAATGCATGCTGTGTAAAGGTCCCCACAAAGTATTCTACTGTCCTCATCGGGCCTCTCTCACTGCGCTCCAAGTGTCTATTCAAGAGACCAATGACGCAAGGGTCGAATCTATGTTAGACAAGAAGGAAGATCAAGATAATCCCCGAATGGGCGCGCTTAAATTCTTGTCAGCCCTCCAACGGAAGGTCGAACCGAAGGAGATAATAGAAAAAGGACTCATGTCTGTAGATGCGGTAATAAATTCTCAACCGAGCAAGAGCACCCTGATAAATTCAGGAGCAACCCACAACTTTATCGCCGATCAAGAAGCCCGAAGATTGGGACTCACCATAGGAAAGGACTTGGGAAAAATGAAAGCTGTCAACTGTGAGGCCTTGCCTATTGTGGGAGTTTCCAAATGAGTCCCCTTCAAGATAGGGGATTGGACAGGGGAGCTAGACCTTGTCGTGGTTCGCATGGACG